AAAATAAAATATTTTATTAAATCAACAAAAATTTTCTCTAATAATACCATCAGAAAAATCTCGTTCAATTTTTCGTTTTGGTTTTGATAATGGAATTTCATCAATCCAAGAATATAATTCTTGTAAATTTGATTCATCTAATTCCGATTCCCAAATCATTTTAAATCAATAAAGATTTCTATTCTATTCGATCGTTAAAACAGAAGTATAAAAAAATAAAATAAAATAATTTTTTTTGTTCGGTTTCTTTTTCCATTAGGAAAAAAAGAACTTTTATCCAATGAGATAATTATTTATCAACAAATTTAAATTATTCAAGATAAATCAAAAGTCGTTCATTTAACATATGTGTCATATGCTTAACACATAAATTATATATGAAAAGTATTTTCCGTGGAGGTTTCGAGAGAAATAATAAAATTTAAAGTCTATAAAGAAGAGTTAATATTGCTCAAAATTATAATTACAAATAAATGAGAATTTTATCTCAGACGAATCATATAAAATATATTTTTTACAATCTCGTTTATCTTTATTTGTTTGACTAAATGACAAGAATAAAATATTGTTTTCTTTTTATAAATATTATTTCAATTGAATCCAAGTTAAGATAAAATAAGTCTCAATAATAGAAAATTCTAATTCATTAATATCAATCTATGAATCAAATTCAATAATTTTCGAATTATCACGTTTGAGTGTTATAGTTTTTAAATAAATTGGTATTTAATTCACAAGTATTTTCAATATGATTAACAGACATTATTTCACATGCATGAACTGTAAAATTATGTTCTATTGAAGATATCACTATAGGATTTATCCAATCATTATAATCTACACATGAGTAACCATGTAAGTATGACACAAACTTTTTCTTCATTTGTATATCGAATATTAAACCACTTGAATCCAGAAAAACCATTTGGAATTGCATCAGATTTCGAAATTTTAAGTAATGAATCGAAAGTTATTGTTCGAACATCTGACGATGATAAAATAGCTATTATTAAAATTATTTTTCTTTGAGTTTATTTAGTTTCTGTTTTAATTGATGATTCTCTTCGAGAATTTAGCTAAGAACTGGACGAATCTGTTCGTAAAGACATCGACTAAGATAAGAAAAAAGTTGATCTTTTTGACCAACCCATGGATATTGAATATCTGGTACTGAACATGAACACATAATTGTTTTTCGACATCTTTTTAAATGATCTTTAAAATTACCACGTTGAATTCCTGTTTGTGAAAAAGTTTTACATTTAACAAAGATGTTATCAAGCATATTTAATATCAAACATGTTTCAACAGGCATTAACTCTTTCATATTTGAAATATTCTTTCGGCAAATTAGACATGACTTATTATTATAATTATTAATCCATTATTCAATACATTTATAACAAAATATATCACGACAGGCTGCTGTAACTGGTTGTTCACATGATACCTTTTAAATTTTTATCAATTGACATTTCATCAATATATTCATATTCCATTAAGAATATTTTCTACCACTAATTCTTCAATTTGATTCTAAAAGTAAAAGAAAAATTATTTTATTTAAAATCTTACTCAATATATATAAGTTAGATGTTGTTTTTTTCATACTTTTTTTTGTTCTGTTTATAAATTTGTCAGCGTTGTTTTTTCTCACTTACTGTAACTGTATTTCATCACATGTCATAATCACCAAATAACAAAACAAAACCAACGTATGTAAAAATATCTATTGAAAATAATAAATAAAAGATTTTCTAAATAAATCCCTTTCTATTTTAATTAAACAATTATTTTTAAGAGAATCGTTATTATCTATCGCACCATCCATGATTATTTTTCTTTTTTTCCTTATTAATATTATTTGCCTATGACCTGAGGTTATGAATATCACATGTGATATCTGAGAATCGAATCTTTTTTCCGCATGGTATATTTGTACTACATAGTTTGAGGACAAAAAATAATGCTTATTTCGTTTGCTAATTACATACACAATTCAAATTGTTTTTTTACAGTATATTTATCTTTAAATCGTTCTTTTCACATTAAATATACATATTTATTGATAGTAATTGATACTCTCCTTCTTTTTTTTTCATATACGTATAAATATTTTTGATCAAATATTATTTTATATATTGGATGACTGTAAGTATAGATTTATTTTTGATCGTAAAAATAAGAGATGAAGAAAAAAAAAAGATATAATGATAAATTTGATTGAATCAATTGAAAATTGTTCTTGTTAATAGCGAGAAATTTTCATGTATTTTTTACACTGAAAAGTGTCAAAGTAAAAGATAAAAAACCAAATAGTTAAATAGTAAGAATAGCAATTATTAATAAATTGATTTTATCATATTCATTTACCTTTGAAATTTACTGTTTGACTTTTTTTTTCAAAAATCATAAATAGTTATAAGCAATTTCGTATATTTATAAAAAAAATCTTAGTAGCATGTGAATAGAAAATATACTATAATTTTTAAGCATATTTATTGGTTAATATTATAATCTTATGAATGACAATAAAATCTAGAATATACTTATATGATTGAGTATTGTCTGTACTTATTTATTGGTAGTATTTTTCTTTTTCATATATATATATATATATGTATGTATTGTGTTGTACATAATCGTTGACTTCCACCTTGAAAAGAAGAATATACACACTCAATAAAAATGAATAACGATACGAATGAAACCTGACGAGGGAGAACGAAAGAGAAAGACAGAACGATCAAAAACATCGAAATGATTATTACAGTTGCACTTCTATGATACACACACAATCAATCGCAGTACCTGTATAGAAAAAAAGAGTCAATCAACCAGTTCACGTTTTTTTTCTGTCCCTTTTTAGTATTCCTATCGAGTCATCCTATTTTTTTTTTATTATTTTTGTCGTCAGATTTACTTTTTATTATTGTATAATAATACAAATGGCATCCTCTAATACCGGTTCTAATAATGCTAGTGATAGGAAACTCACGCGTATGTAATTTATATTTATTAATGCATTGAAACATATAAATATTCATTTTGTAGGTGATAGCTCAATGGATAGTCATGCAAGATTTAATCTTTCGCCAGTACCAAGTGTTGAAGATGATGAAGATGATGGTGTTGGTTATCCATCTGGACAAGGTTTATCAAGTATTGATCAAAATGATAGTGGGGAAGAAGCTGAATCTCTTGCTAATGATGCTGGAAATACAACGACTGTTACAATGTACGATGCAAATCATGGTCCTAGTAGTCCATCAGCAAAGAAATATGATCATCAAAGTTTATAATAAAATATCTATAGATAATTTCTATTTTTGTATTATTTTAGTAACTGATGTAACATATGTTGTTCGTAAACATTATGAAAATTTTGAAACAATAGATTGGTTAAAAGATTTAATGCGAAATCGTATTCGTCATCGTAATTTACGGGCACATAGACGAGAGAATTGGCAAAAACGATTTGCTTTTTGGTTTGATAAATGGAGTGGATGGATTTGTGTTTTATTAGTTGGTATATCAGCAGGTTAGTTTTATATTTATTCGGAAAGATTATTATTTAATCTTTTTATTTCTGCTTAATTTTAAAGGTCTTGTCGCTGGTTTTGTTGATATTGGAGCAAAATGGATGAGTCATTGGCGAACTGGTGTTTGTTCATCAGCATTTTGGCTAAATCGTGAACAGTGTTGTTGGGGTTCGAGAGATGTTGAATTCGATGATGTTCATAATGAACTATGTGAATATGTAAATGATTTAAATTAGATAGATTTTAAATAGAAAATTAAAATTTTATATATTTTGTTTTTGTATTAGTGGCAATCATGGTCTGCAATATTTGGTATGAATGAATTATCAGCAAGTGCTTGGTTTTTTCGATATTTTATGTTTACATTTTGGTCGGTTATTTATGCAGCTTTTATTGTTGTTCTTGTTGTTGGTTCTGCTCCATATGCAAGTGGATCAGGTATTCCTGAAATAAAAACAATTTTATCAGGTTTTATAATGTATGGTTATTTGGGTAAATGGACTTTTTTTATAAAAAGTATTGGTATGATATTTGCAACAAGTGCAGGACTTATTGTTGGTAAAGAAGGTCCATTTGTACATATTTCTTGTTGTTGTGGAAATCTTTTTTCAAGTAAGATAAAAAAACGTTTAAGAATAATTTTTCAAAAAACAAAAATTTTAGAATTGTTTCCAAAATATGGTCATAATGAAGCACGTAAACGTGAAATATTATCTGCAGCTGCAGCTACAGGTGTATCAGTTGCATTTGGTGCACCAATTGGTGGAATTTTATTTAGTTTAGAAGAAATAAGTTATTATTTTCCATACAAAACATTATGGCGAACATTTCTTTGTTGTATGGTTGGTGCACTAGTTGTACGTACAATAAATCCATATGGAAATGGACATGAAATTCAATTTCCTGTTGAATATAATGTACCATGGGCAACATTTGAAGTTATACCATTTATTGGTCTTGGTGCATTAGGTGGTTTATGGGGAACATTATTTATAAAAACAAATATACGTTGGTTAAAATATAAAAAAACTTGTCAAATTGGACAATATCCACGTGCTGAAGTTATTATATTAACTTTAATAACAGCTATTATTTGTTATCCAAATCAATATTTAAGATTAACAATGCCTGAATTAATACGACGATTAGTTGGACAATGTCATGTTGATGACCATATGGATTTATGGTAAGTTTAATTTAATTTTTATAATTAATTAGAAAAATAAATATTTTATATAGTGATTATGCACGAGATAAACCAATTGGAACAGCAACAGCTAAATTATATGCTTCTTTAGCTGGTCCTGGTATACATCGTGCTATTTGGCAATTATCATGGGCATTAATTGTTCAAATAACTCTTGTTATATTTACAATTGGTACAAAAGTTCCATCAGGTTTAATTGTTCCAAGTATTTCAATAGGAGCTATAGCTGGTCGTATTATTGGTGTTATAACAGAGCAAATAGCATATCAAAATCAACATTTAGCTATATTAAGACATGAATGTGGAGTTTCAAATGAGCATTGTGTTACACCTGGACTTTATGCTGTTGTTGGTGCATGTGCATTTTTAGGTGGTGTTAGTCGAATGACTGTATCGCTTGTTGTTATTATGAGTGAAGTAACTGGTGGTTTATCTTATATAGTTCCATTGATGGTTGCAGCATTAACAGCTAAATGGGTAGGTGATGCATTTGGCGAAGGAATCTATGAAGAGAATGTTAAATTAAGTGGTTATCCATATTTAGGTAAGAAAAAGAATAAAAAATTTAAAAAAAAATAACTATTTTTCCTTTTTTATGTAGAAAATCGTGAAAGTTTTCGATTTACTTTAAAAGCGGGTGAAGCAATTCGTGCAAATCGTTCTAGTGAAGCAATTCCATTAGCATGTATTGTACAAGATGGTATGACAATACTTCAAATAGATACACTCGTTCGTCGACATCCACATTCAATTTATCCTGTTATACTTAGTGAAGATTTTCCTTGTATTGTTGGTCAAGTTCAACGACGTGATTTATTAGCGGTACTAAAATCACGTAAAACTCAATTAACATTTGCACAACCAAAACCATTACTTAATAGAAAAGTTTCCGTTGTATCAATGTCAAATTTATTAAATAAATCTGGTCAACCATCAACATTAGGAATGCGTAGAGCATCATTAGCATTACAAGCATCAAGAGTTTTACAATTACATAAATTAGTTGATCGTGCACCAATCATTGTAACTGATCAAACACCAGTTGAAGCTGTTGTTGATATGTTTAGAAAACTCGGTTGTCGACAAATATTTGTTACAAAAAATGGGTAAATATTGTATTCTTTTCTTTTTTTGTTGATGTTAAAAAATAAAAATATTTTTTTCTTTTAGTCGTCTGCAAGGTATTTTAACGAGAAAAGATATTATTCGATTAATGCATGAAGCTAATGTATCAGGCAGATTTGAACATTAAATTAGAAGATGAAATAAAATTTAGTTTGTCAATGTAAATTCAGCTTTATTTTTTTTTTTATTAGTGAATTTTTTAAATAAATACATATAAAGTATTCCAAATGTTTGAACAAGAAAAAGAGTATGAATAAGTTTTTGGGTATAGGTATCTTCCGTTCATGATTCACACCCATCCTTTAATAGAAAGTATACAATATTAATTATAATTAATATAATCAAAACATTATAAAATAATTTTTCTGTGAACAAAATCAATGATTATAATATACCATTCGATCGTCGAGATACACCGTTATTTGATGATACAGTTATTTCAACAATTAAACTCAATAAAATAATTAATATAAAATATTTTTAAAAATATTAATCTATTATAAATCATCTTATCTTTCTTTTTCTTACCATATTCATTTTCTATATTTATTCTTTACATAATTGATCAAATAATTATGATAGTCTCTTATTTTTCCATTTTATATAAATGTAAGAACAAAAACAAGAAAACGTAGCTCGATGTTATAAACAAAGACAGAAAAACAACATCAGTAATGACAAAGTACTTTTTCGCTGTTTAAATAACATACAGATGACTATATTATTATTATGAATTTAAAGGCATTGTGCTCTTGATGATATAGCAAATCAAAATGTTACTGTTATGATAATAAAAGTTAATATTGTTACAATTCTTGTATGAAAATGTGTATTTGCATCTTTACGTAATTCTTCTTCAACACTTTTATATCTTTCATATTATTATGATATTTATTATAACTACGAAGATTATAGAAATCAACAGCTTGAATTGCTTGAATATGATTTGTTACACTTATTAATGAAAGTGAATAGTCTTCCAACGTATCACATCGAAGAACTTTAGTTAATGGTAAATAACGACATGAACATCCTTCAGGTATTTGATTTACTTGAAGAATTGAACAATGCTGACGAGTATTGTAACATGAATCAAATCTATTTGATGTATACCTCATATATAGATTTGATCGAATACCACGAATGCTATACTTTCTTTCATTAAGGATTATTTACATATTATATCATTATTTTTATTTTTGTATTTTTGGGTTCTTTTAGCATTTTATATAATAATAAAGATTTTATCAAATAATTGATAAAATTGAGCGAATAATAAGTTTGAAAGAAGATTCGAAGGTTTTTTTTATAGGATTGGTTATTTATATATAACGTAGTTGTTAGCTTGTTAACCGTTATTGAGGGTGTGAGTAAAAGTAAAGGACACTAATAACACTCACTCATCCATCCATCCATCAATACCCAGGTCGAACTTGCACGATCGTAAACGACAGTTTACAGCAAAAAAACGGAGATATACGAAGGTCGTACACGGATTTCATGTACGTAAAGTGGATACGACTCGAAACGAATTCTGTATACGACGACCGTGCAATATTACGGCAGAATCAACAGACAAACTATTTTTTTCCGTATACGGTGATATATGTTTATTTCTTATTTCTTTTTATTTTAAATCATTGTTATACTTATATGAATGAATAGTAAGTGTATGTATATTTTATTTATTATTTTCTTTTATTTTAGATTATTGCGTGTAAATACAAACGAACAGTCAATATAGTTATTTTTTAATATATTTTTATCCAACGACAGATCGTGGTCATACGATATTTGTAGCTATATATAGTCCGTATATGATTACGGAGATTTACGGTCGTAATACGGCTTCAGGTAAGACGCAGAAGTACGTGTGTATACGGACCGTATACAAAATTCATAATGATCGACTGGGAGAGCTGAAAATAAAATATTAAAAATTCTTTTAAATTCCAGCGTTTTTTTATCAATCATGTAAATCTCTTGATTGCTTATGTATGTTACAGAACATATAAAGAATACACGAATATGTACATAAACAAACGTACGAGCCACATTTTTCTTATTGCTTTATTTATCTTTATTTTTTCTCTTTCAGATTTGATCTAAACGTATTCAATTCATATTCTCAGGCCAAATATAACGACCTATCAACAGTCGTCAGCGGTGCGAAAGCGGGCAGAAAACAGTAAAACATACTCAAAAGCGGCGGTGGATGTTAGACGTTTACGGTAGGAATTTCGCCGTTTTATTGCCGTTCCATGCATTATAAGATGCCGCTCGAGATGGCCTGAATGATTGACCTAGGTTAGCCTGTGTCTATCCGATTATATATCTCATTGATTGTATTGGCTCTGCAACACAAATACATCGATTAAAAATAATGGATTTTATATTTTTCCTTGTTCTTGTTCATTTCCGCTATATCTCTCATTGTTATATCGTATCTTTTGAATGAAGAAACAAGCAAAGATAGCTATAATGGAAGAGGTATTGATAATATGAATGGAGCAGGAATTATTTATTTTTATATATCTATTTATCTCTTTAGAACGCCGTAGATATTGAAAAAATAAAATTTATCATAAAAGGAGCATTTGTTAATATTGCGGATGATAAACTAACGGTTGACATGGAGTGTTTGCGTCGTTCCATTTTAATGTTGTTCAACATATGCGATATAAGTAGTCTAGTATAAAGTTCAAATACTGTTTTCAACAAAATCCTATTAATCTATTTCTCATTTTTTTATTATAGATGATCGATATTGTTATTACTGAAGTAACGCTTAGCGGTGGTCGGGTGGCTAATAACACTTTCAATACAATTGACGAAGCTGTGAATGAAATCGATAGAATAAATACAAGTATTATACTTTATCGCTAAGCATTTAATTACTTTTTAGTGTAATCTCACGATTTAAGAAGAAATCGTCGTCTACATTTAAACCAATGTAAGTTTCAAACGGTATGTTTTTAGTTTTTAGTTTTATTTTTGTTGATCGATGGCGCCATGTTTTGTCAAAAACAAATTTTTTTTGTTGGTCGTGAACTTTGTCAATAAAATGTTGTTTCTTTGTTATTCAATAAACGGAAGAACTTTAAGTATTATTTTTTAGTTTAATTTTTTCTTAACGTTACTCTTATCTTCAGAACATTTCCTTAATTCCAATCATTTATAGTAGTTTTAGTAATTAAAGACATTCCATGAATTGATAATGATTTTAATATATATTACTTATACAAACAAATCTCCACCTTTTACAGACTAAAGATAATTCTCACTAACAAGAATGAAGTTTAACAAATATGTGTCAATAGATTCAGTAGTCAGACGTAACGAAAAATGAATTAGGAAGTAAATGAAATAAAAAAAAAACACTATAATAACAGAAAAATAAAAACGCATCAGTTCATTAAGAGACTTTCATCCAGCGAATATCACAAAAGACGTACAAAAGTATTTAATCGATAAGAAGAAAAACGACGATTTCATTAAATTAATTCGAAACGTTTATCTTATTTTTGAGAAAAACGCTTGCCGATAGAGTTTCTCCTGTCAATCCTGCACGCTCCTGTCTTCCCAAATATGACGATATACTAAAATAGCTCTCGCTTGGCACTGATGTTGCTGGAGTAGTTAGTATTCTTTTTGCTAGATTTGCTAGAATTTGAAAGGTCTTTCCGTATGGATGCCAAAATAATGTTGCTGACGTCGAATCTAGATTATAAGTCAGGTTGAACTATGCAATATACTTTCGATATTTTTGAATATCATCAATGATAATTTCCTTTTTGTTATAATCATGGCTTGTAGACGTTATCAAATTAAAGATAAGTTAAATAACAGTTCAAAATATACGACATAGCAATAAAAAAATTGAAGATAAATATACATGATAACTGCATCTCTTTATCATTCTTAACCAAATGAATAATAAAAGAATATCTTGCTATGTTCATAAATGTAAATTTCGACTATTGTTCCTCTCATGGAACATTTTCGTTATAATTGTACTTGTGCATATATCGAAGTTATTCAAAACGTGAACATACATCTATTGCAAAATTTTATAACATAATCCACACAACTTTCATCAAAACTTCGATTAAGTTCGAGGTTTAATTCTATAAAAATACAGATTGAAATATTATATGAACGAAATTGAAAAGTTCTATTTATAATAGCAAAATAATTGTGATAATCAGATTTAACGACTTGCTCAATAGACGTATAGCGATTCCCAGTTCAAACTTATAAAACGAACCCGAACCGTTCGGTTCCAAACCAGAACTCTTGAGACCGAACCCGAACTCGAACCGAACCCGAACCCACTGAACCCGAACGTTCGGGTTCGCTACATGCCTAGTTTGATTGTTGAATAAACAAAATTGAATTACTACTACCCAGGACGATCATTCCGAACACCGGAAACAGCGTCTTGACTGATCTAAAACGATTATAAAATGGTCTATTACTGCATTAATTTCGTGAGATGCCTAATTCGAGTTCGAATATAAATAGACATTTATAACTCAATTCAGTCCTAGTCAGAAAATGATGTTCCACAATTATCTTTCTTCATTACTCAATAGTCACCATAAACATAACATTTAAAATTTTCTTTTCGTTCTGCATACATAAATATACGCTCTTACAAAACAAACTATTACTTTTTATTACACATAACGTCACATATATGTACTTCAGTGAAACACGATCTAAAAAGAGTGTTGAAGTGTTTAGAGACAGAAATTTAGACCCCTCCCCACAGACGTGACCGACAGGGCATTATAGTCGTTCCTACAGTTGACCAATGTAGAAGCACAAACCATAAGTGACAGATGTTTTTTCGATTATGTCATAGACTGACCGTCATAGATATGAACATTGAATTGCAGAACAAAATAAAACTACTGAATTCATACAGTTTAGGAAAGATAGATACATAAGTAGTTTCTTTTATATTAATCGATTTTGCTATTTAATTTTGTAACAACTGTTAAAATGATAATTATGTGAGTTCAACAATATTATTTCTTTCGGATATTTCTATATCTTTATGTCAAAGGATGAGGTAAAAGGTGCTTCATAATGATACAATTAAACTATCTTTTTGAAGGTAGA